AGGATATTTTAGTCTTCAAATGATAAGTTTTCGATTTCCTTGAAAATTAATTACTAACTTGGCGTAAATCGATCTGTTCGAGACACATAGGTTCACACTGAAAATTGATATGAGTATTTAGACCAAGGACCAATAGCCACAGCGAAATAACCATATAATATTCATGAACTGCCAAGAGGCGGCCAGCAACACATGCCCAGGTTGCACGATATACCATACTTTACAGCAAACGTACTGACTAATTTATGAATATCACGCGGACTTCGGCGCAAATATTCATGTCAAATTTCAGTCCGAGTCCATAAGTCTCGAATAGACTGGTTTAATCCAAGCTATCGATCAATTTCTAAGGAAATTTAAAAAATTGCGATGTCAAACTGGAATTTCTAACAGAAATGCACGCGGAGAACGTCAGGCGGCTCACTGATGAGCCAAACCCCCTTTGTAGATGGGCCATGCAGTGGCAGAACATCCGTAAGACACGTGCTTGAACTTTTAGCTAGTGTATGTGTTGTCAAGTATGGTATGTCGTACAACACGTCCATGTACTACTCGCTGCCTGGTGACAGTTTATAAATATTGCGCGGTTATGCTGTTGGGGCTGATAAGTTTCGGTCTGAATGTTTATATCAAATTTTAGTCTGGGTCCGAGTCTCGAATAGACTGATTTACTCCAGGTTAGCGACTAATTTCTGAGGAAATTAAAAGCCTTCAATAACGTTGGTCAATAAGAGCGGGTAAGGGGAAAGTATGGGTAATGTTTCATGTAAAATGCTCGTGCGTAATGATCTACGCCTAGCTTTTGCCGTTCCCGGAATATCTCGAAAGTTATATATCCGCACAATACAGCGTCAGCATACCCCTGCTACCAGGGAAGCGCTCAGCCATAATAGCGCACTACCTTTGTAGTTGTAGAACCGTCCTGATAACACCAAACACCTCCGGTTAGTCAGCAGCTAGGATTATGACTGGCTGGCACTCGTCAGTAATCCCGTAAGTACAGTCCGCCGAGCGGTCCTTCCAAATGACTGGCGTCAGCGGAATGAATCTGATAATACGGCCGAATTACTTAAATCGGCTGTGTCTGCTCAGCTAATCAGATAACTAGCCACATACAGGCCGGCGGGCCCGCAAATCTCAATCGCTCGTGCAGGGCTAGCCCGGTCGATATGTTAAATCATTGTGTTAAAATGAGTAACAGCTTAGAAAAAAGTCCAAAACGAGTATTATTAATCACAAGGTAAGTGTAGTTATTTTCCAAAAGGGATATAATCATACTCACCATTATGCACGATGAACGCAAAAGACACACCAACTTTGAAAAGTCCTCGTATGTTTGTCCTTGATCAAGACTTCACTGTAAGTTCGTCAATTTAAGTTCCTGTATTTAGGAATCAGAGCTACTGCTCAAAAAATTCCTGCTCTCATTCAAAAAATCAGGAGAATCCAGTTTTCTAGCAGTGTTTCAGAAAAGCGTAGAGGCTTCGGCATAAGCAGGCCAGCAGCAAGCACCCGCCACTGATACAATTACGCGTAATGCGTACGGCAATTTTGCAACAAATTAATATGCTGTCTGTATTTAAGTGTATTAGCGGTATTTAACAACACCACCAAAGCAGAAAGTCTGATGACAGTTTGACATCGGTTTCGATGATGTCCACCGTGTGCCCCACAGTTGCAGCAGCAATGGGAGCAGGGACGGTGACTTACGCAGGGGTTTATAGTGCCGGTAGACTTGCGTAGCATCTAACTACACTCTCTCCTCCTCCCTCGCCCGAGCCCGGTGTCCACACAACAAATAACCAAGATTTCAACCAACACAAGAGAGATTTGGAGGCTGGCACGGCCGAAACCGCACCTGGGCGTGCCGCCAACGCCTGGCTCGGATCCCACACGGTGATCGGAATGCCAATTATGCCACATTAAAAAGGAGCCATTGCAGCCTGACTCTCAGACCGCCTCCGGTCAAGGAGGAGGTCCATGATACCCCGTCAATTGGCAACCTTCCAAGCCATGGTTTTTAGCGCACCGTGATAGCTTCAAGCGCGTCAGATTGTTTATAGTGAGGAGAAAGTGCGCTGAGTCGTCGACCTCACTCTCCCTTCCCACTCCCACACCTCAGCCGCTGTCCGAGCCGGTCAGTAGACTGGAGTGGGGAATGGGCGCGGTGGCTGTCATGGTCGACTGACCATGACTGCGCGCGCCACGGCACGACCTGGCCCCCAATACACACAACACCAGGATTTCACACAACGGGGGTTGAACGGCGTGTCTCTCACTTGCGTGAGAGTGCCGTGGAATGTGCTGTTTCAGCCAGTTCCCAGCCCACAAGTCCGCCACTCCACACAACACACACACAACACGACGAACTGTGTGAACCGAGAGTGGGCGTCAATCAGCAACCTTCCTATCCACGACGCTTGACGTGTCGGGTTAGTCTCGGACTCAAGTCACCCGTGCAGCCGAAGCCGCATGGGGACCGAGTCGAGATGCGGACTTCCCACTTGCGTGGGAGGTGGCAGTTGGGCGCATGAGGTGTGTGAGTGTTGATTTCTGGTGGGGTGATGGTGGTGGTGGAGGAGGTAGGGAGTGAGTGACCGTGTGGTGTGGCCGGCGGTTGTCTACCGCAGGTCGTCGTGGATGCGCATGTGGCCGAATAGACCTATGCGATGCTTGAAAGTGCGAGGACAGTCTGGGCAGTTGAGACGAGCCTGGTGGGTATAAGTGGGTGCTCCAGGCACTGGTTCGCCGGTCTCTGTGCGATGGATTCGCAAGTGACCGACCAGGCCGATGCGTGAGGTGAATGTGCGTGGACAGCGTGGGCATGAGAAGTCGGCGGTGTCAGTGTCAGCTACAGAGGAGGCGGT